AGTAAAAGAACTACTTCGTGGCGCTTTTTCCGTCATTGTTATTCCGAAGGCATTGCTGGAACGCAAAGATGTGCATGTCGACATCATTTTTCCGTCACTGGACCTACTAAAGTGCCTCTTTATGCTTCTGAAAAAATACTACTCTCATGAATTTTTGGCGCAGAGGCTTAAGCAGTTTTTAAACACAACTTGTCCTTTGTAAACTAAGTCATTTGCGCTGATCACTTAAAAATCAATTACTTCTTTCAGTGCTGGTTTCGACATATGCATGCACAAAGCTGAAAGTAACAAACAGCTGTTTCAAGATCTTTTTGGATGGAAAAAAGAGGTAAGCTTCTTGGTATTGTGTGACAGCTCTCTGTGCCAAAAACTGATTTTGAATTTGACGGCCGGATGCTGTTTAGGGTCGCAAAAAGAAAAAAAAAACAGCCGGGTTATTTTGGGTTGAGAAAGATAAATTTATTACAGGTCAGTTTTTGAGCAATGCTAACCCAGGCTGGGACGCACTAGGCTCTCCGGTACGATCATGCGTTTTTGTACCGAACTCGCAGATCGCTATTAGTAGGAACGATCTCTATGCTGTAGCCTAACATTTGGGTCATATTGGCATGCTTTGATCCTTTCCGACATGCAGGAGGAAGGGCGTCAGTTGGGATGAAGGTGGTTCATTTATACAGACGCACGGACATTCAGGTGAATGATTACCGGTTTTTTGCACGAAGTCCGGTCGTTTCTTCGGCAAATGCTTGCATTGTGAAACCCAGGCTGGAACGCACCAGGCTCTCCGGTGCGATTGCACAAAACTTGAATTGGGTTAACTGGATGAACGGTTTTTTCTTCACATCTACCTTGTGTGCTTCATGCCGAAAATCATCGTAAATTTTGCATGAAAAGAAATAAACTATTTCCATGTAGCGGTGTTTTTTGAATGTAACCCAACTGTTCAATGAGTAATTTTCCCGCCAGAAATTTGATTGCCCGTGCACGAAAATCATGCGTAAATTAAGACTGAATTCGAAGATTTAAGTTTTATTTGGACGGGGAATATTCTCCTAAAACCCGAGCCTCCTAACTTTTCTGGTTCTCGAGTTAACAATTTTTTCGCTAAAACTTTCACAGGGCCGCACGTGATCTATACTTGGGGGCTGGGTTTGGAATTTTTAAGTTTGATGCAGGCTGAGAACATTCCTTTAAAATTTTGGCCTCCCGGCTTTTCTGGTTCCCGAATTACTCGTTTACCCGCCAAAAAAGTTTCACGGGGCCGTACATGAGAACCACGCATGACTGCGGATTGAATTTGATAGGTTTATGTCATACTTGTGCCTGGAACATTCCCTGAAAATTTCAGCCTCCCAGCTTTCCTGGTTCCCGAGTTAGCCATTCTCCCGCCAGAAAATTTCACGGTGACATACGTGAGAAACAAGGATGCCTGGGGCTGAATTTGATAACTTTAGGTCGTATATGGGCTGGGAACATTCCCTGAAAATTTCAGCCTTCCAGCTTTCCTGGTATCCGAATTAGTAATTTTTCCCCTAAAACTTTCATACCTGGG